GCACCTTTGCTAAAACATAGAGCAGTGGCTGAGGGTGAAATGGGGCAGTTCTCCAGAAGGGAGCAAAACAGTTTCTGAGGAATATCTTAATTGGCACACATGTGGTTCATGTGTATTCTTATCATTTCATTGTTGAAACATTTATTGTTATAATAAATTAGGTAATTATTTATTCAAGTAATGTAATAATTAGTTAATTAAGACATTCTGACCATCTTGTCCAAGGGCAAATTTGTAACCATTGATGTGTGTCTTCCAACCCCCATTTCTTTCTCCCTTTTATTTACATGCTTACTGTGGTTGTATGTAGTATCACGCTTTTGTTTCATATCATTTCCATGCTTTATATCCATTTTTTCATGCATTAGGGTTCAGTTCATCATTCTCAACCATCATTGTCATTTCCAACTTGCTTGAATACGTGCACTACCGCATGTTTTGAGTTAATCCATATGACATGTTAAATAATCCGAACGTAATAGTTGCATTCTTGTATCTGTTGCATTAGTCATGTGCATTGTTAGGGTCATGCATTTTTCTAATTGCTTTCCTTTTCTTTGGCTTACCTTGGAGTACTAGGTGAGCATTTTTTTGCTTTAGCATATTCATGTGAGTGATTGTTTCCATACCTAACATCTTACCATGAGGCTACATGTTTTCTCGAAATAAATTGTTTGAATGCCTGTGGATGAAGGTTATTTTACTTGCATTGGGGATGATTTTGATTAAATATATGTGCGATCTCATATCTTTTCTTTTGAGATGTGTTCACTCAAAACTCTTTCAAAAAACATAAAATCAAGTCATTTCCACAGCGAGTGAAATAGTCTATACTTATGGGCCTCACATAATAAGTTAGCATTATTAATAATCAGAACAAGAGCATATAATGTTGATATAATTCACATCATGATTAGTAGAGGCCGGTCTTTAATTGGGTGAGTAGGGTGCTCAATTCATGACCTCCCCCTGCCATACCTAAGTTCTTGAGCCGAGATACTTTGGTTATGACGGACAAGTGGCCTTTGGCACGAGTCACGTGTTTCCTAAATTTTCTAAAAATATTTTCTAAAATCTGAAAATGCAGTCCATTTTTGGCATCTTTAATGATTAATGGATTTTCTAAAATTTGTCAGATTTAGACTCTCATTTGTTTTTTAGTTTCACATTGCACTTGTGAAACCAGATTTAGAACCACGAGAGTCTGAATTGTAGGGCTATCTTACCTGAGGAGACTAAACCCCTCTGAGGAGCACGAAAAACCATCTATAAGCTGATGAGTTAGCCAAGGAGATGGACCAAAACTCTGAGATGGCAAGAGATGAGAAACCATATAGAGAGAATATTGATGTACAAATGGACAAGGATTCAAACAAAGAGAGTGACACGGGAAGTTGCAAAGTCATATAATGAATTAGCCAAGGAAATCGAGTTAGGTGCATGCAAGAAAATGATAGATATGACAACCCAACTCTGTGTTATGCTAATTAATCTTACCTATGGTTATAATTATGAGCTTGATATGATTTTGAATGTTATTTATATGATTATATACGTTTGTGAAATTCTATCTGTTCACCGTAGGAAGATCTGTTTGATTTTCTATTATAAAATTTAAATTAAAGGCCGTAGAGGCATCAGAAACCAAAATTAATTGTACCATCGTAATTAGGAAAAATTTTAGAGCCTATGATAAAATTTAATTAGAAATTAATTCAGATCAGAATAATTAGATTAAATTAAATAAGTAAGTCTTTGATTAAATTATCTTATGTCTGATTAGGAGACTTAATCCAAGATTTGTGTTATGAGCTAATCACCACTATATATATATGGAGACAAAAGATGAAACTCATCTTCTTTGAGCTCAAATCAGCTAAGAAGAATATAGAGAGAGGGAGAGACGATTAGAGAGAGAGAGAGAACACAAAATTGAAGACTTAGACTCAAAGCTTGGAGAATTGAAGGAGAATTGGAAAATTGAGCTAGAATACACTTAGATTCAAGCTATAGGTATGATTGTCAACCTTGATTCTTGTAATAAGGATATGTAGAAATTGAATTCACCTAATTCTTGAGTTTATTTGAATGTAATTGTACAAGGAAAGTATGAATCTCTTTGAAATGGAAAAATTGAGTTGAATTGTGTACATGCATGCTTGAATCACCAAGTTGAGCTTGAATTTCATGGAATTATCCTCATGCATATTTGACATTTTTGGTGATGTTTCACAGTCATACTACTTTTCATCTTATGCATGAGAGTTTTGGAAAGATTTGAAAACAAAAGAGTGTAATTCATCTCATGCATAGTTTCAACCTTGTGATTTAAGCTTGAATTTGGGATAATGGTTCATGATTTTGAGTAATTGGTTTTAATTATCCATATTCTCATGTCCTATAATGGTTTTCCATGTTTTGGCATCAACTTGTAAGCTTTGGACTCTTGAACATCAAGTTTGGACTTCAAACAGAATTCTGGAAAACCCAGAATTCGGCTTGTCCGCTCAAGCGAGGAAAGCTTCGCTTGAGCGTGAAATTGTAGCTCTCAGAAGTTTTGCAAAAATAACATGGTGGCTCGAGCAGACGAATTTGCGCTTGAGCGTACCTTGCCCTGCGTGACTCCTCATTTCATCGTCAAAAGCCTCGCTCGAGCGTAAATTACAAGCAACCGGAAGTTTTGCAAACCAAAAGGGTCCACTCGAGCGGAGGACCCTGTTTCAAAAATTTTGTAAAGACATTTTATGTTTTGTTTTCCATTCTCTTTCACTTCTAAGCACTCTTAGGCTTGCATTAGACATTTTAAATGAATTAAAGAGCATAAAAGAAGCCTAAGAACATTATACGACTTAAAGAACGGAATGAATTGAATTATGACCCAATGTGTTATGAATTATGTACGGGTAGGGTTAAGCGCAAGGGTGAATCAAGCACCGGATCACTGTGAGTAATATCTTAGTAAAGATATTTTCAAGTACATATTTTCCAAATGCTACTTCTGTATAAGTTTCATGGATTTGTTAATTTGAATTATGAATGAGTATTCCATATGCCTAATTTTTTTATAAGGCTCTGTGAAGAATATGATTTGGGCCCAAGGCCATTTGGAATGTTTAACAACATAGACTAAAAGTCATCTTATACATGAATTGGGCCGTAGGCCGGTTTGTATGATTGATGAATGGACCAAATGTCGTTTTGAATAAAGAATTGATTAAACCAAAGGTCGTTTTGAGTATAAATACAAATGCGATGCAATTGGGCCACAAGCCGTTTTTGTATGATTGATGAATGGACCAAAGGTCATTTTGAATAAAGAATTGATTGGACCAAAGGTCGTTTTGAGTATAAATACGAATGCGACACATAGCTATGATATGAGAATGTTAGACCCAAGGTCGTTTAGTATTATGACATGAAAAACCGATGGTTATTGATACATGGATCCATTAGACTTGAAATTGGTCCATGAATGAGTATTGAACTCGAGGTCATTTTGTATAGATGGACCCAAGGTCGTTTTGTACATGAATATGATGTGTTGGACCCGAGGTCGTTTTGCTCGTTACGGTCTATAAATTTGATATGAATGGGAATAGTAGTTCAACTGTTTAAATTATAAGCATGATCTATTCATGAACGAATCTCATTCATTAACCTCTTTACTCTGGTATTATTCATTGGGCACTAGCTCACTATTTATATTTATGTATGTAAGTGAACAGCGGGATGCGCAGCCCAGTCCCAGTGAACGATAAAAACCATGTTTTGAGAGATTAACCGTAGTCGCCTCACGCAAGAGGCCTTGCTTTTGCTTTACTGCTCTTTGAACCTTTTGTGGTCATGTATGACCAACCTTGACTAACCTGGTGTATAATCTAAACTTTTGTTAACACTGGTTTTGAATAATCCTTGGTGTATGTACGGCATACTTAATGTGACTATGCATATGGTGTGAGTTATTATGTGAATGTCTGAATGTTTGGTTAAGCCATGTATGCACAGCTCAATGAACAATCTTAGAAAATTTTCTTTCGCAATTTGGCCCCCTATTATTAAATACATTTCAATTTTTGACTAAGGTCGCAGGTAATCTTGTGATTATTAGCCGGTTATGACTCTAATCCATAGGGGCAAGTTGGGGTCATGACAATGGAGGTGGGTGATATCAATGACGGCTATACAGAGATGTGTCAGGAAATTGATGATTAGGTATACACGTCTGGTTTTGTTAGGAGTTTAAGTGGATCAAGTGTACATAGACATGGGCTCAATATGGAGGTGGTGTTGGGCGTTAACCAATGAAGCAATGAATTGGGAGGACTTAATACAAATCAAATTGGGCCCAATGTAAATGATTGGGTAGAGGTAAATGGGCCTCTCAATATAGTTTCTAGCTCATCTCAGGTGAAAGAGAAGGATATGGAATGTAACTCTGTCTTGCAAAGGAAGAAATAAAAGAGAAAAGTAACCAAGAAGGTCAAAAATAGATATCATCCCCAAGGAAAAGGATATTTTTGACATAGTAAGAAGATTTGGACACAAATGGCTATCATCAAGCAAAGCGGCTACAAAAGGAGCAGTATTTAGGGCAACATCCCTTTCAACTTCGATGGAGAATGGAGATGATGGAGGCAGACTAATTTTAAATGAAGCCCAAGCTACGCAGTAGATAGGAAAACTTTTGGGCGTGAATTTCAATGGGAAAAAGGTTGAAGCTCTTAAAAAAATTATGGAACTTGAGGTGAAGGACAAAGAAAGAATTGGGAGGGGTATTGGAGCATCTGTATAGGATGTCTCTAATTTGGGGCTCAAGAGGTGTTTTAAAAGTTATTATGAAGATAATCTCATGGAACATTAGAAGTGTGGGTAGGCACCAGAAGAAAGTAAAGATAAGACGGATTCTAAAGGAAAGAAAAGTAGATGTAGCTCTATTTCAAGAAACCAAAAAAGTTGCACTTACAGAAAAGGAAGTCAAAACAATGTAGGTAAAAGACAAAATGGACTTTATGGCTGTAGACTCTATAGGCCTATCCGGAGGGCTCTTATGCAATTGGGATCCTAAGGTGTTTCAATTACAAGCTTGTTGCAGTAGTAGAAGATTCATCATGTTCTTAGGTACTCTGTTTAAATCATTTGATTGTGTTATTCTCAATTTATATGCTCCAGACTCAGTTGGTGATAGAAAGAAATTATGGGATAGTTTGATTAAACTAAAGATGAACTTTCAAAATCCTTGGTGTCTATGTGGAGATTTCAATGAAATCAAGAATATAAGTGAGAGAAAAGGTTGCTATAGGAGAGATAGGGGCATGAAGGATTTGAATGATTTTATCGACAAGTGTGAATTAAATGATATGCCATTACGTGGGAGGAAGTTCATGTGGTGCAACTCAGCAGAAGCTAAGAAGTGGAGTAGAATTTATAGAGTTTTCGTAGACCCAAAATGGATAGAGAGGTTTAACTTGAAACTTTGGAGACTACCAAGATGTATTTCTGATCTTTGTCCTCTATTGTTGATGGGGAATGAGAGAGATTGGGGCCCCAAGCCTTTCAGATTTCTTAATGCTTGGGCCTTGCACTCTAATTTTACAGCTTTTATAGAGAAGACTTGGAAGGAAATAGTGGTTGAGGGATGCGCTAGTTTTACTCTACAAATCAAATTGAAGACTTTGAAGCTTGCAATAAAAATCTAGAGCAAGGAGGTATTTGGGAATGTTACTTCCAAGTTAAAATCAGTAGAAGAGGAACTCCACACATTAGATCTTATTGTTGAATCTAGAGATTTGGTGGATAATGAAATATCAAGGAGAAGATTAACAAGAGAACCTGTCTGGAAGCTAAGTAAGATGGTGGAATGGATATGGCTGCAAAAGTCAAGGCTTAAATGGAACAGGAAAGGTAACAGAAATACCAGATTTTTTGCATGTGATGGCCAGGAGTAAACAAAGTATAAATGAAATCTCTTTCATTACAGTTGATGATGTATTGTTTGAAGAGCCTAATCAAATTAATATAGAGATTTATGAGCATTTCAAGAAGCATTTCTCTGAAGATTGGGCTTCTAGACCTACCCTAGGAGAGTCATTTGAGTCAGCGCAGTGTAGCTCTTATTATGGGGTTCTAGAAGGGGAGGTTTCAAAGGCAAAAATTAAAGCTTCAATTAGAGATTGTGATAGCAACAAGGCTCCAGGCCCTGACGGATTTAATTTGATTTGTTTTAAAAAATTCTAAAAACTGATGAAGGGAGATGTGTGCAATTTTTTCCGGTTAGTACTGGTAAAATGGAAATTGGTAGTGTTTATATAGCCTACTTGCAGACACGTACCTAAAGATTCCCAGTGTTGTATCCAATGCACTGTTTTCTATTATAAAGGAAATGATTTCATGAATTGTGATATAATCTGGCATTGCATGGTTTTGGAAAGAGATGTAAAACATTTTGACGCGAGCATTGCATATGCATTCATCTTATAACCTTGTTAATATTTATACACTGTGTTAGAGTATCTCTACATGGCTTTGGCTCACCCAATATGGAAAACTATTTTTAAGTGTTGATGATATGTCTCTGCCAAGGCTGTAGCTTGGGAGGACTTGGAGCTAAGAGCTTCTTTTTTGTTATTGTTGTAATTATTTTTGTGCAAGCCTAGGGCTTTATTTGTATTGAGTTTCAAACTCAATTTTGTTGTAACAAAGTATCGTCTTGGAAAGTTGTAGCCAATAGGGCATTACTTTATTGGTTTAACTTTTATTTCGTATTGTTTACTTGTGACACATGCTATAGATTCAGTGTTAGGACTTATGAATGTATAACTACATGTGTTACTTTTTGTATAATGGAATCATATGAATGAAAGATAATTACTTTGGCAGATGTTGTTATTTAATTAATAGTGTGAGATGGTTTTATTGTCATTATTTTTGGGGCATTACATATGTGTTCTCAGTATCATCTGCTTACAAATTTATTGAATACTTTTTTGGTCCACCTCTTTTAACCAATAAGCTTGTGTGGATTAATTATCTCCCTCCAAAGTCCAATTCTTCTGTTGGTTATCCTGAAAAAATAAAATCAAGACTTCTATCTTTCTCCAAAGAATTGGTGTTTTACCTTGTAATGCTTCAACTTTTTGTATTTTTTGTAAGAATGAGAATGAAACAATGAACCATTTATTGCTGTATTGCCCTTTTGCTTGGAGGTTATGGTATACTATATTGAGTTGGTGGGATTTACAAGGGGCCTTTCCAGGATAAATTGCTAGCTTACTACTATGGTAGGATGGTGTTAGACTTAAAAAAAAAGGAGAGGAAGATTTGGAGAGCTATTCCTCTGTTGTGTTGTGGTCCTTATGGAAACATAGAAATGATTGTGTCTTCAATGATATTTCACCAAATTTGTCTGAACTGTGTGAACTGGTCAAGATTAGAATTACACATTGGCTAATACCAATTCTCAAGGTGTATCATCTAAATGTTCAAGATTTCCTATCTAATTTAAGGGAAATCACGTTTTGTGAATAGGCTGCGGAGTCTTGGTGGTTGACAAAAGGGAGAGGTAGATGAACATATATGCTTGTACTGAACTGATATGCTGAACTAATATGATGTGCCAATGTTGCAGAGAAGTGCTATATTGTTTTTTGTTCTGTTACTTTGGTTGGTTGCTCACTAACCATTTAAGTCAGTGTAGTGCAGCTCTTATTGTGGGGTTCTAGAAGGGGAGGTTTCAAAGGCAGAAATTAAAGCTTCAATTAGAGATTATGATGGCAACAAGGCTCCAGGCCTTGACGGATTTAATTTGATTGTTTTCAAAAATTTTGGAAATTGATGAAGGGAGATGTGTGCAACTTTTTCAAGGAATTTCACATGAATAGAAAATTTGTGAAAGGATTAAATAGCTCCTTTATTTCAATCATTCCTAAAAACAAAAATCCAATGGGTCTTAGGGATTATAGACCCATGCCTTATTAGATCAGTTTACAAAATTTTGGCTAAGGTGTTGGCTGGTAGGTTGACAGCTGTTTTGCCCCATATAATTAATGAATCTCAAACAATATTTATAGGGGAAAGGAATATTATAGATGGTGTGCTAATTGCAAATGAGGTGGTGGATGGTTGGAAGAAAACAAAAAGAAAAGGTGTGCTAATTTAGATTGATTTCGAGAAGGCCTTTGACTCTGTGAATTGACTCTACCTTAAATCTATGCTTTTGAATTTTGGTTTTGGGGAAAAATGGATTGACTAGATTGAAGAATGTGTATCCTCTGCCAGACTATCAGTCCTTGTCAATGGCTCTCCAACTGAAGAGTTCAGTCCACAAAGAGGCTTGAGGCAAGGGGATCCTTTATCTCTCTTTTTTATTCAATTTGGCAACAGAAGGCCTCAACATTCTATTGTCTAGAGCACAATAGTTAGGCCTCATTAAAAGAGTTAAGATAGGAGCTAATGGTGCGGTGTTGTCCCATCTTCAATTTGCAGAAGATTTATTATTATTTTGTAAAGCACTGGAGGCTAAGTTTGTAATTTAAAGAGGATCATAAGATGCTTTGAACTGATTTTAGGTCAGAGAATTAACTACCACAAAGGTTTGGTGTGTGGAGTAGGTGTGCAACAGGAGGTCATTGATTCCTTTGCAGAAAAATTAAATTGTAAGACCAAATCCCTGCCTATTCATTACTTGGGGATGCCCCTGGGAGCTAATCCAAATAGGAAAGCAACTTGGAAATCAGTTTTGGACAAAGTCAGAAGTAGGTTAACTGTGTGGAAGAGAATGTTGCTTTCATTTGTAGGTAGGCACACTCTAATTCAAGTTGTAACTTCCTTTACACCTGTATACTATCTATCTCTCTTTAAAATGCCAGAAAGGATAGCTAGAGAGTTTGAGAAGCTTCAATCTAGATTCCTCTGGGGTAAATCTGAATTGAAGAGGAAACTCCATATGGTGAGGTGTGAGACAATTACAAAAAATGTGGAATAAGATGGGTTTGGCATCAAGAGAGTGAGAGTGGTTAATGCCAGCTTATTAATCAAGTGGTGGTGGAGATTTAGGCTTAAAATAGAGGCTTTGTAAAGGAGGATAATTTGTAGCAAGTACAACATGGAGTTGGGTAGCTAGTTCCTATCATTTAGTCTAAGCAGTAGACACTCTTGGGTATGGAAAAGAATCTTATCAATAGCATAACACAGAAGCAGTTTTTTGGAATTCTTTTGGAATAATCTGATTATAAAGGTTGGGATGGAATTAGAGTCAAATTTTGGAAAGACAAATGGTGTTTGAATGTGTGTTTGGAAGAAGAATTCCCTATTCTCTTTAGATTGATAGTTGACAAAAAAGAATCATTGAGATCAATGTATGAGAAAAAAAGATGGATCAAGCAATTGGAACTTCAATTTCAAAAGGAGGCTGTTTGACTAGGAGTATAAGGAGGTTTCCATACTCATTGATTTGCGTTGGGCTTCCCCTAGCATTAGTGTTGATTAACTTGATACTCTGTCTTGGATTGCTACAAACTCAGGTGTTATAACGATTATGGTTTAGACTCGACCCGTTTATTATTTTGGATCCAGATTCTTTATTTTATCTGGTTGTTTATATCCTTGTTCATCTTATTCCTTGTCGAATTGGATTGTTTGAGTATTATGGTTGCGTTTGAAACAGGTTGGGAGTTTGTTTCTCAAATGAGTCTTTGCCCAGATTTTGGTCAATTCGGTTGAGCAGTCCTTTGGTTGCTTAAGCGGTCTTTGAGAACTCCAATATAATTATAGGTCTATAAAAGTACTACGAGGGTAGTGTTTTTCGCTCAAGCTGTGTTTCTTGAGCTTGATCGGTCTTGGTTCAAGCTGTCCTTGCACTCGAGCGGTCACTTTGTTCGCTCGAGCGGTCTCACTTATTGTGTCAGGTCGCTCAAGCGGTGTTTTGGGCGCTTGAGCGGTCTACACGTATATCAGTTCGTAACAGCAACTTTTTGAGTCATTTTCTCATCTCTCTCTAAACATTCTAAAATCTCAGATTTTTTTCCTCTCTCTAGAAATCATCTTTAAACCTCAAATACACTATCATCCATTAATCTCTCAACCATTGCCCTTTGGGGAAAAAACAAAGCACACCAAGAGCTTCTATTTGATCGGAATGAAATTTGTTTTTGGCTTCATCGATTTTCAACCCTTGTTCTTCTTGGTCCTTGCCTTTACGATAAGGATTTCTCTACACTTTTGTATGGTTTTTAACTTAGTTATTTGATTTTCTAAACAATATTATGATTTGGAGATTTTGAACAAAATCTAGGTTTTTGGTTTAAAAATCAAAAGAGAGTCTTTCAAAGGGGTTCTTGAATATGATTGTGGGTTTGTATATGTGGTTGAGTCGTGATAAATGGTGGATTTTTATCCTTGGAATTGGTTTATAAAGAAAGGGGATTTTGTCCTAAAATGTGAATATTTGATTTTGTAAAGAGGAAATGGAAATGATATTTGGTTTTATGGAATTGGATTGATGATGGTGGTGGTGGTAAAGTTGGATATGCATTATCAATCCCATCTTGAAATTTCGGTACGTTTATCTTTAGTGGAAATTATATATTTGTTTAGAGATATCTGTTTTGAGCTATCAGTGGAGAATAACTATAATTATTGTAGAAATTATATGAAAATTAGGAGAATTGAAACTAATTTCTCATCCATTTGCATTGAGCAT